AAGACGGGAACGGGACATGCAAGACGATCTCGGAGGCCATCAAGAGGGCGCCGGATTACGGTACACGCCGGTTCATCATTTACGTGCGAGCTGGGAGGTAAAAATAAACGTTTCTTTTTTTTTTTCCTTTTCTTTTTTTTTTTGGCCTTGCTAGTTGCTACTTACATGTAAGCATGTAAATATTAAAATTAATCCCAAAAAAAAATATATGCACTACTTTTCAGAAATTATATTATTGCTGTAATTTAGCTCGGAATATTATTTAGCATTTTAAGGGGCATTTTTTGGGGCTTGAGTCTTCTCAGTTGTCACTCTCATTGTTCTTCTCAATTTATTTATTTATTAATTTATTTTGTTCTTTTCTAGCAAGAAGGTAGAGAGTTTATTAACAATACATGCACATGATATATTTAGTGCATCGCCAGGTATTAATATATTTCGACCAAAAAAATAAAAAAAGGTATTAATATTCTTTCGACAAAAAAAAATGGGTACATATTTTAATTAATTTTTTGTGGCGAGCTAACATTCTTTTATGAGAATTTCATTAGTATTTTCATACAATTATTTTTTTTTAAATTTTCCAAACAAGTTATGTCATCTCCTTCCAAACTATGTTCATGATCAATTTTTCCAGTCGTGTAGAGTGTTTTTAAGGATCCTATTCCGCCCCCCTGTGGACCATAAGTTAGTCTGTTTGTACTATGCTTTTAATGAAAAGATAGTGTCAGTGCCTCAATCACTACGCCACAAATTGTTCCCACGATGTATTCAAAGTTAGGCTCGGTTTTCCCCGGCTCGACCCCGGAATCAGTCGGTTCGGTTCTAGGGCCGGTTCTCACGGGGACCGACTCGATACCCGAGTCTAAAAATCGGGAACCTCCTGTGATAGGGTAGATTTCGGGTTCTCGATCCGGGCCTACATGCTCTGGATTCCATCACCATCGGTCCATTAGTACTGATTGACTTCACCGGCCGTGCACTAACGCTGCAGCCTCCCTTTTTTTTTAACTTTGGAGTCGTGCAATTATGAGTTCCGCTCGTGAACTCGCTGCTTTCTAAGTTTTTTGACCTTTTCTGACTTTCCACCGAAGGTGACTTACCCAGCTTTCGAAACTTTCACTTTGGGAAACTTGTCTCACCATGCATATTGAATTTCGAATGATTGATCCGTTCCTTTTTCGGGTAGTAGCGGTGGCGGACAACGCCGCCTCGGCTTTGTCCATTTGTCTTTCCCTTTGCTTTTAACGATGGTCGCTGGTTTATAATCTTGGATTTTCGTATTTTAATGATCCAGGTACGAGGAAGATAATCTGAAGGTGGGGAGGAAGAAAACGAACCTGATGTTCGTCGGGGACGGGAAGGGCAAGACCGTGATTTCCGGCTGCAGGAGCGTCTTCGACAACATGACGACGTTCCACACCGCGTCCTTCGGTAATACAAAAAAAAAAAGAAATCCCTCCCTTTTTCCCGTTTGGGTCCCCGTATTTTCATCGGACTTTCGTAAGCCACCATCGGATTAAAAAAAATATTGGGATAAATGCATTGGAAGTCCGAAACTTGCGACGAAAATGCCATTAAGTCCTAAAATTTTAAAAAAACGAAATTATGTCCAAAAACTTATCACGAAAGCGCAGTTAAGCTTAAAAGCTTTCAAAAAGTGTAATAATGTCTCAAAACTCGTCAAATTGATCCAATCAAGTCATTCTGTTGATCGCATTTTTTTGAAGTTTTAGCACTCAATTGCATTTTCGTGACTAGTTTTGAGACTTTCCAGCGCACTGGACTAAAATTTTTATAATAATAACACAAGGAAAGAAGGCAAAGGTACAGACAGAGAGGTCATGTGACTCGAGCAAAACGCACGTGGACTGTCGTTTGAGGCCTGAGGGTGGGATCAGAACTTGGTTTCCATCGTTTTCTTTTCCTCTTGCTTGTCGTACGATTGGGATGTCGTCTTCGCGTTTGTCCACGTTCAAGAAATTGCCTCATTAAAGCTGAAGATTCACCTGTGCATGGCGCAGCAGCAGTCACTTAACAATATGAACTGTCAAGCTTTTCGTGCGGAGGGCATCATGTTCCTCGCCAGTGAAAGTAGACAGAGATCACTTTCACAGACAGTCGCACGATCGAAAAAAAGAGAAAGCACATTAGACCTAAAGCTCGTGTAATGCGATGATAGAGAAATCAGAATGTTTGTTTTCTTTATGTTTTTTTCCCTACAGAGTCCCCACGCACGTTCATCTTCAACATGAAGATGAGGCCAACACCACCCCCCATCTTCCTTGTGCTGCACGACCTTATCATCATCAACGTCGTCATTGCGAGCCCGTCTTCCTTTTTCTCTTTTTTTTTCTTCCCTTTGTTTTTCTGAGTGGATGTTGCGCTGTCGGTCCCAACTTGGAACCCGAAGCTGTAGAGAAAAAGAATGTGAGAAAAGAGACTACCATCTACTTCTCGTATAGGTGGGGACGTGATCATGATTCCTTACGAGTGTCGATCAATCTTGTCTTCACTTAGATGCGGCCAGGAGTTATGAACCAGATGAATCGATGACTTGAACAGAAGGTTGTTGCCATGATGAGTTTTTAATGTCCCGTGAATTGCTTAATGATGGTGCTTTGGTATATGCCGCGTGCAGCTGCCACCGGAGCCGGGTTCATCGCTCGGGACATCACGTTCGAGAACTGGGCCGGGCCCGCGAAGCACCAGGCCGTGGCGCTCCGCGTCGGGGCGGATCACGCGGTGGTCTACAGGTGCAACATCATCGGGTACCAAGACACCCTGTACGTCCACTCGAACCGGCAGTTCTTCCGGGAGTGCGACGTGTACGGGACCGTGGACTTCATCTTCGGGAACGCGGCGGTCGTGTTCCAGAACTGCAGCCTCTACGCCCGCAAGCCCATGCCCATGCAGAAGAACACCGTCACGGCCCAGAACCGCAAGGACCCGAACCAGAACACAGGCATCTCCATCCACGCGTGCCGGATCCTGGCCGCGTCCGACCTCGCCGCCTCAAACGGGAGCTTCCTCTCGTTCCTCGGCCGGCCGTGGAAGCTGTACTCAAGGACCGTGTACATGATGTCCTACATCGGCAGCCACATCCACCCGCGGGGCTGGCTCGAGTGGAACGCCACGTTCGCGCTCGACACGCTCTACTACGGCGAGTACATGAACTACGGGCCGGGCGGGGCGGTCGGGCAGCGGGTCAACTGGACCGGGCACCGGGTCATCACATCGCCCGTGGAGGCCGGCAAATTCACGGTTGGACAGTTCATATTCGGATCCTCCTGGTTGCCGTCCACCGGCGTCTCGTTCTTGGCCGGGCTAACCATCTAATCAAACGGTTCTCGAAAAAACAAGAAAAAAAATTGAAAAAAAATCATGTGGGTTCTCTCTGTAATGCGACGGGTATAGTTTGGAAAATTTTCTATTTTTCTTGGGTATTTTTTTTGTAAGCTGTACTAATAATAATTGTACAACGTCGCTGCCCATTTCTCGTTGCCATGTTTAGCGCTCATTTCCATTGAAGAACCTACGGGACTAACGAACGAACGATCCTGCGCTTTCTTTCCCTTCGTTGGATACGTAACGTATGTCTCCACATCCATATCATCATGAAAGAAATCCAACACAGCAAAGACAATTTCGGGGGCAAGATTGAATTGGAGAGAGAGAAGGTACTTGCGCGCAAGTCAAACTCGGGCGTCGCATGAATCTTGTCGGGTTGTGACCACTTTTGCCTCGGAAACGAGAGGCCTGCGATGTGGGTGGTGTCGGTGGCGACGGAAAAAATGAATGCTGTGATCTGTGAACCACCTTTTTCTTGATGACCCACCACCCCGTTTTGAACATGATCCATGAATCTGACCAGGGGAGCGCAAAGTGCTTTGAATTCATGGGGCGTGCTGGGACATGGGGGGGGGGGGGTTGGGCGGGGGGGTGTGGCGGGGGCTAAAGCCACCGACATTTACTTTCTTCACGGCTCAAGTCAAGTGGGTCACTGACATTTCCCAACCACTCTCGATAGATTTGCATGGTTCTTGTAGTCTGCAGAGCTCCGGACTTATGTCTGTGACTGGAAATTTTCGTATCTTTATTGAATGAAAACTATCTGCTGATGAAACAGATCGAGCCCGAGACTACTCTTATCAGTCATCTTGCTTCTGTTTTCCGGCCCCGGTTTAAGTTGGAACTCTTTGACACATGCGCAAGATGAGCCGAGTCACTTCTGTACGAATCGAAGCCGCGAGCCGTCGACATCCTTCAACAACGCTCCTTGTATGTAGTGAGACTAACCTCAAATTGTCGTCGCGAATGATTCATGGACCGTAAGGTCGTAATCGAATTACCCCAAGATCCCCCCGAATTCGAGGTTTTTTAAGTGTTTGCAGAACAAGAATTTGGAGCACTGAAAGAGGAAACTAGAAGCTGAGACTGGCTGATTGATATGGAAAGTTAATAAAAATTGGTAATGTTTCATAGGTTAAATTTCTTCGCAGCAACTTATTAATGGCTAGGGATATACCCTTTTTTACATTGATTTTAGATTACTTCCTAATCACGTGAAAGATGTTAATAATAAAAAAATTGAGATAATTAAAACTCATGAAAAATTATGATCCCGAGAGAAAAACTATCAGCAAAGGAGATAGGTACTTACTTTCCAATATCAAGATACTGAGCATGATGAAAACAAACTTAGGAAAAGCTAACATATCAAGCTTTACTTCTCACACGAAAAGTAACTAATCGTGTCAAAGAATTTTCGCTTACTTAAGAGGTTTAAAGTTACTTTTTCTTAATGAAAATTTGCTAATCACATCGCAAAATGATTAATATGTTATTAACCACCGTGCTCAACCTCTTAAAAGAGTGTAACACATGACAATCTAGTGGTATGATGAACTGCATTGAACACTTCACTGAATCAACAAACAAGCATGCACAGTACCAGATGTATGAATATAGTTTTTTTTTTGTTTTTTTTTGGTAAGGAGTGTATGAATATAGTTAACTTCGACATTATTGATATTTTTTCAACTTCCCCATTAAGCTCCTTAAAATTACAAAGCAAGAAAGCTGCATTTAAATGACATGAATCACTTGCACCCTCACATCCCATGTATAACTTCTCTGGAGAGCTCACCCTCATCCGCAAGAGTTTGAGATATCGGCACTGGCTGATTGATGGATGATTCAGTGACCGTGCTGGTCCGCACCGTGTTGGATGCTCTCTTTGTGCCGATGACAGATGTCGTCGATGTTGCTTGCACTCATTCATGGCGGTTAATGGATTAACTTCAGTATGCAGCTATTATCTGAAGCTTACACCTCTGAATCTTCTACCTCGGAACTAAGCACAAAACTCGGGAACGCCAGCGTAATGTCCCTGCAAAAAGAAACGAAACTGTTCAAGAATTGTCCCACTATTCAAGAAATGTCCCACTAGGAATTATGCCAACTATTGCACGACCCGAAAATCTCAAACACCGCAAGGTGGAAATGAAACGAGTGAAGTGGTTAGTGAGCATGAATGGGACCTCGCCATGAACAAGGAAGTGCATAGGATGATTAAGAATTTGTGAATGTGCGTTTGAGCCTCGCATAATTCGTGCATCATGATGACCGGGCTCGGCAGAAAGATGCAAAAATCAAGCATTTCATATAGATTTAATTAAGTGTGTAGTCTATGAGTACGCACTTCAAATATGGTAGCGTCATGTTCCTGATCAGCGAAGGGTTCTTGGAAACAAACTCCTTCCATTCTTCCTGGTCGATCTTCCCATCACCTTTGGCATCTGCTTCTCTGAACGTCTGTTGAAAAGAATAAAATATCAGCACGAATCTTTCATTTGACCTCTCTCGATTTGAAGAGAAACAGAATGTAAGAAATATGAGCACCTTATCCACAATTGTTTCAACAACATCCTCTGAAAGAACCAGATCTGACTCATGTAGAAGTGCCACTACCATCTCCTTCAACTGTCCAGGCCAACCACAAATTATATGAGCAGAGAGATGTAATATAGAAGATATTCATTTCTAAATGGGGGCATCAGAAGGCTCAAACAGATCGGCATATATTGGAGAAAGCTATTCAGACAGGTTCAGTCTCCTTAAACCAAAACAAAATTAAAAGGAATTACAGGAACACGATTGTCCGTATTGGAACTGTAGGCAGCACTCACCTCCTCTGGCTCTATGTATCCAGTGTGCCTCAAGTCGTACAATCTGAAAGCAACTGATAGAAAGATCCTCGGAAATTAGCCAAAGCACATTCATTTAACTACGTAAAGCGAAGAAACTATAAGATTTAAAAGTAGAATCAAAGATAAAATGCGACTCCTCTTACATGCAGTTTTGTCTTCTATTGGTGCATTTGGGTGAAAGACACCCAGAGATCTGACAAATTCTCCAAACTCAATGACACCATTTTGCTTCACATCAAATAGATCAAAAATCTGGAAAATATCAACAATTTATATGTATTTAGATAGAGATAGAACATGTATATACGCTAACAAATCAAAAGCAGGAAGCGAAGACCAAGTTGAAACTGCAGCAACTTCAAACTACGCTTTCTCTAAAAAGTTGCACTCAATTTAAATGCAGCAAATGAGATATTAAAAGTAGACCATTAGCCATCTGTTCGTTTCTTTTGTACTCATTTCAGGGGATACATCATTTTCATGGTCAACAAGATACAAACTTAAGTCCGAAGAATCATAAAAGTAAATAAATGAGACAGCAAACAGACCCTGTCAGCGAAGAGATTCCTATTATTTCTGTTCCTGAAAAGAGCAAGATTGAACTCTTCCTGCAAAAGTTGCGATAAAGAAAATTAATCATCCAGTTCTACCAAGCATGAATATGAGAGCTTTGATCACAAAATGATTGAATGGACCTATTAACGAGATAGGAACTGCAACCAACATTTTATAACCTCCATGTTCAAAAACAAAAGCACACCTTGTGAATAAGCCCGTCATCAATAATTGAGCTGCTTAGTTTCTTAAAGAGCTCGTACAACGCCTCCACTTCGCTTACGGTAACTGGAGTGCATAAAATCAAAGTCACATTAAGCCATCAACCTTATGAACACACTGATATAAGAATACAAAAAAAAAAAAAAAAGACAAACGATTCTTTATTGGATACCGACTCTTAAGAGGATTCACGAGTAAAAGAACTAATGATATTTTTAGCAAAAATAACGTTGGCTAAAGTTAATATTTCCTTAGGGGTAGAATCCCTAAAAGTGGCTGTTACATTCAAAGAACATAAAAAATCATCACCTCCATAACCATGCACTATTAAAGACCATCAAGTTTCCTAATACAAGACCATACCATGAGGCAGAAAGAAAGCGCCATTCATTGATAAAAAATTGTTGAGCAGGCCAACACCTGAATCTTGAACTCTGTACTTAACATATATATAAGTCCAGTGATCTAAAGAAGTCTCCCTCATCCATCTATACCAAGACTATGTTCCCCATTGAAGATACATTGAGAATTGAGATGGATTAAATTAGTCTCAGGTTGTATCCTAGCTTGAAGTAATGCTCAAAATGAATAGGCATATTCAAAATCAAGCCGTTGTGGCCGTTTAACTCTACGACATAAATGCATACTCACAAGGTGTCTCAGAAGCCAGAACAGTAGGCTCCTCATACCCAGGCGTCTGCTTAACACCTTTTGAGCAAAAGCAGCCCATGAACTATCTTTCCATCAAAAGTATGACAACCGTGCTGTAGGACTGGACAAAGAAACACCTGCGAATTCCACAATATGCAGTCTGTTTCCTGAAAAGAAAGTATAACAGAGCTTAAAATCCAGCCTTTCATATTAGTCGTCTCTGTAAACTCTGTGCTCCTGATAAGCAAAGGAGAAACAAGGGCTATCCACAGTAACACATCAACCAAACAAGACAAGGAACCTACAATCACATCCAAAGCAGAGTCGTGGATGTACATATCTAGTCATGAAAAGATGAAACAGTATGCGTTATTTAGAGAAAAGAAAAGTAAATAATAGAAACAGGAAAGAAGCTATTGCATGCCTCCGAATTTTTTAGGTTGATTACCAAACCGCAATAAAGCCTATTACGATGGATACAGATAACTTCAACCCAGAGAATGAAACTTGAGCGACTGGCTGTGCATCACTACGATAGACAGCCAATTGAATACACGTATTGTGCTTGTATATTGACAAAAAGACAACATGTCCATAGAGACACTGGAATCATTCGAAAGAGACAGCTATGGTTGAGACCGCTACCCAATGGCGCCAGTTATAAGTAACTGGCTCAACAGGACATGTAATCTGAATGCAGGAAAGAAAAAGAGCAGAGTATCTGGACAGTAGGGAAAATGGTCATCAAGTAATTTTTTAAGCATGGGCACGAGACTAAGGTAATACTCTTAGAAGGATTTGTTACAGCGACTTTTCAAGTGATGGGGTCATCTGCTCTGTCCTTAGTAGCATATACCAAAGCCAAAATGAGAGAGATTCGGATCACAAACGATATTAGCCGCAGGGAACACTAAGATCATTTATAGAAATTATCAACCTTAAGTGGAATTAAGGAATATCTCTCGACGACAAGTCCCATGAGACCACGAAACATCATATCACTGGCTTAGTAGTATATTTTAAGAACGAGTATATGGTATCCAGTGCATAAATAAAAGGACAGGTAGGAGATTTCAGACTCTTGCGGGTGACAAAGACCAATATCCTTTAATAATTAACAAGTAGTTGTCACTGGCAAAGCCTCCTAAGCAGATTGGACCTCCCCTAATTAACTCCTAAAGTAGTTCTACAACCAAACTGGTTCGCCAAGAAACAAAAATACCAACACAGAACAACTAACGAGCACAAATAATAAATTCACAAGACGTGATCCTTTCGGTGAAGCAGAAAAGTACCCAGATTATTATATAGAAGCATAGAAAATCGATCAACTCCAGAAATGTTCACGTTCAGTAGCAGACAGAATGTGAGCCGATTGTCCGTAAAACAAATGACAGATTAAGAAACGTTGTCGTATCTCTGAAGGGACCAAGCGAGGCACATTACGCCAAATACAAATCGTTCATTTGTTTTTTTTCACTCAAGTCAATGTAAGACGTCCGAATCCTCGAATATAAAAAAGAGAACAGAAAAGAAAATTTGTTGCTAGAGGCGAAAACTAGTGCAGTAAGATCTGGAAACCGCGAAAGGAAAAGGACAATCAAGAACGCAATGTCATCCTAGACAAGTGTCGGGCATCCACCGGCGAGAACATTTAATTTAAAAAAACAAGAAATCGCTATTCTTCCCCTCTTTTCCAAACGTTACAACGCGGCGCAAAGCAAGAAGTCTGCAAGCAACAGTCCTGCTCGGAGGCCTCCCATCTGTTCGGACCCAGGAACGATTCGAGCGACCATCGTGTCCCACGAAAGCAACGGGGCATGCGATCCTTTTCGCACCTCCAAGCAATCCCACGGGGAACCCAAGAAGGCCCCCCGGACATCAAAAGTAATCCCCGCTCGTCCCCATTTCATTAAAAATGGAAAGCTTGTCCGAACAGCCCGAACAAACACACCCGGCAATCGAAATCGCACGGCCGAAGAACAGGGGGAAGAAACATCCGAATCGATGACAGGCGCACAGCGAACGATCACCGACGTGTCCCCGGAAGGACGGACTCGCGCGAGGAGGAACATGAGGCCAACTCACCTGGACCCGAGAATAGCGCGCGGGAGCAAATCCCAGGTGGGTTCCGCGCTCCACCTGTCGCTCCGTGGATCTACCGCAAGAGGGTCTGCGAGGGGGGAAGCTGGCGCTGGAGCTCGATGGAGAAAGGCCGGAGCTTTCGATGAAAGAACTGAACTTGGGGGAGATGAGGATCGATGGCGTATTTTTATAGAGACGAAGAGAGAGAGAAACAGAGACACACGTTCGACACGTTCCCTTTGAGTCCAAGTAACGGACCAAAGAGCGAAAATTACTGTTCTTTTGTTCTCAGAAATAATTTGATAACAAAAATGAGTTTGGTAAATTTTTTATTAAAATAGCACATTTTGCAAAAATTTGTCTTTAGAAAGCAGTTTTGTATGAAAGCAAGTAAAAAAGTTCTTCTTGTTTCTCGATACAATTTCGAGAATGAGTTCTTTTTCTTCTTTTTCTTTTTTTTCTTTTCTTCTTTGTGTTGTTCTTCCCTTTTTCCTTGTGTTCTTCTTTGTGTTGCTCCTTTTTCCTTTTCTTGATGATGTTGAAAAGTCAATAATTGACGACCTGCATTATCCGGAAAACACCGAGACCTTTCGTGAAATATCGCTACTGACGCTTTTAAATACGCCCGCGTGTCCCAAAAATCGGTCCGTGGTTTCCTTCGGGGTTATCGATATCATCAGGAGGCTGTTGCTGTTGTATACGAACGGTGACGGTGTTGGCGAAGACGCGAGTTCTGATAATGCATCTCTAACGAGCTCCGATATCGATACTATTGAAGAAAGTAGTTGTAATTTTTGGACGCACGAGCAGTTCTTGGATTAGAGTGAAAGTCGAGGAAATTTGACCTTTTAAGATCACATGTAGTTTTTGTTTTTTTTCTCATATAGAAAATTCAATTAGTGGGTGTTCATTAAGAAAACGAAAAATAAAAAGAGTTGCTATTCTTTTATGGGTTAATATTACCAAAAATCCCAAACTGATATATATGTGATAAATTTACCTCAAATTAATTTTTTGACTATCAAAAACTCCAAACTTGTACATATGTGACAAATTTACCCTATGTTAGTTTCTATTAAATTTGATTAATAGCACGAAAAATCATAAACTGGTGCCAACGGAGATAAAACCTCAAATTATTATACGTCATGTGTCATCAATTCATCAATTTGACGATAAAATTTAACGAAAACTAACGGAAGGTAAATTTATTATGAGTATATCAGTTTGGAATTTTTTGTGGTCAAAAAATTAATTTGAAATAAATTTATCACAAATATATGAATTTTGAATTTTTCGTAATATTAATCCATTTTTTATTAATCGTGTTTAAACACTTTTCCGTTGATAGGTCTAATCAAATGGGCTTGTGGAAAAATAGAGGAAAAGTTCAATATTGCTTCGATACGGGCATCATGTCATCGGGAAGAGCAGTGCATTAATGAATTTTCTTTTTTTTATAGCATCGAGGTGGTGAATATCAAGCCAAAAGGCTAAAACTTAGGGCAGCGAACCGTAACCACGATCCAAATTCAACACTTAAAAAGGCCAAAAGAAAGAATAAGATCGAGTATACAAAAATCGATTTATTAAGTGATGTGACTCGCGTATTTAACACTTCAATTACTATCTGTCGCATTATCTAGTTAAGTAATTTAGCGGATTGAATTTAGTATATTTATCATTGACGGGCCAAGTAAAAGCCCGAAAAGGGGAGAAAAGTCTAAGCAAACACGGGAGTCCTCGGACATGATGGTACAAGTGGATGCGGATTTTGATAGCGAAACCCACAACTTGTTGCTCAGTTGCTCTTACCTACGAGAATTTTTGTTTTTGTTTTTTTTTTTCCCAAATGAAGAAAAGAGAATTTCGACCAAAAAAAAAAGAAGTAAGAAAAGTCATACAGCAGACAACGTGACAAAAAGGGAAAATAAATAATCGATTTTGTAACCCAACTAATTTTAGGTAGATCAAATTTCTAAATGAAGTTCTCTAAATAGTCATGGAGTGTGATAGTCGGTCAGGTGAATTTCGCTTATGAATTAATATCTTATGATGATACACATCTGATATAGAGGTGATTGGCTTCTGGGTAGGCCAGTTTACGGTCTAGAAATGGGGACTGACCTTGTAATTCCTGGTTTCAAGTTTTTGGAATAGGTTATGGAACCCAAGAATCGGCCACTTTTTGTTTTGTTCATAAAATCAAATTTTTATAATAAAATATAAAAGTTGCACCATTTCGTTGTACAAACATAGTCGAGTGACTATGTTGTTTTTTTGTTCATGTTGCAAATCATGCTTCTATTTTTTTTTTATGGAAGCAAAAGTGTTTCCTTTTTGTTCTAAAAGAGGCTTCAAAATCGATTCAACCCTAGTCATAGGCTCTCAGAACCGGGAATCAAATTGGTTCTCGCTTGAACAGATCCCTGTTGGTTCGGTCCGAATCTACTCAAGAACCGGACCTGCTGCCCATCTCTAATCTGATGTGAAATTTGATATATCACGAAACTGAGCATAGGCTACATTATCATATGAAAACTTCATAAAGTGAAAGTGAGACGAAACGAAACTTTCCTAGTTAATTAAAATTTTTAGGGAAAATTGCACTACAAATCTTAAAACTTGTCAGAAAAGTGAAATCAAATCATATTGTCAACTTCGTCCAATTTGGCTAACGGAAAATGCTGACGCGATTTTTTTATTATTTCTCTTTCCTATGTGGCGTTAAAATTAACTAAAGTACTAAAACGATGTCGTTTTGGTACAAATGCTAATTTTTTTACACAAAATCTTAATTATATTAGGTTGAAAAAAGTCTAAAAGTTTTTCCAAAAAGAAAAAACCAACTAAACAAAAGGAAAGGCTAAAAGTTAAAACAAACACAAAAGAAGAAGAAAAAAACCACAGGCGGTGGTGGGCCTGACTCTCCCGCCTGTAAACCTTTTTTTAGTTTGTCTTTTATTTGGAAAAACTTTTGGACTTTTTTAACCTAAATTAGGACTCGACCCAAAACAAGTTCGTTTTAGTGCTTTACTTAACTTCAGTGCCACGTAGGATGCCAAGTAGGAGAGAGAAAAAAAAAACGTCACGCCAACATTTATTGTTAGCCAAATTTAATAGAGTTAACCAAATAATTTGATTGCACCAATTTATCAAATTTTAGGACTTGATTGTACTTTTTAAAAGTTTTAGGATTCAGTTACAGTTTCCTGAAAAGTCTAGGACTTATAGTGCACATATCCCAAATTTTCATCTTTAATATTCAGGATCTCATCTCATTCCCCGTCGTTTTATTTTGTACGCAGAGTCCCTTTTCTTCCGAAACTGCGAAAAATTAGCCGCGCGAATCGGATGAAATTTGTCCCACCGCCCCAACCCAGAACTTACCGGTCCTTAAAAAAAGACTAATGAATTTTCCTAATAACCCCGCAATTCAATTCACTCAAAAGATCTGTTATTTTAGGAGAAAGTAGATCGACAAAAATACTCCCCGAAAAAAGTGAAAATATTTTCCTGAAATTAGACTAAAATTAGTTGTGCCGGGCATAATTGGCATAGTAGAATGACGTACCTCGTGCAGGTATATTATCACTAAATCAATAATGCTTCAAAGCTAAGCATTAAAAAATGCGAATTATGCGGAGCAAACAATCATGAAAAAGAAAAAGAGTTGCATTATGATAAGGTACATGAACCCCACATGATCAAACCCGAACGAATTGGAGCTGCATTGCCTCGCATAAATAAAAACAATCATTTAGATTCCTGGGACGCACATAAT